TTAATCCTTCAACTGCTTATCAAAGGCTTAAAATCTACCAAGAGTTGCTATTGAAGATGACTACCTTACTGGAGGTTATTGTTCTGAATGTCTATCACCATTTAAATGTTAACATTTATAGTGATCACAGGAGCAATTTAATAGATTTGTTACTGGATTGATACAAGCTGCTTCTTAAGTATAACTAAAGATATAGAATGCTAAATTAGTTTCTTACTTAAAGTATCTTACATCAAAAATCTGATTACAGTTAATATATGATATAAAATAGAAGCTAAGCATAATTTTCATAAGATAAGAGCAATATTAATCATTTAATTCGATAATTTTCTGATTTGATACATGGATACAAAACTTAAATTGCACTTGGCTTGAATTTATTTTTATATGAATTAAATTACTTGATATTGTTTAAAAGCATGAATTTCAATAATTAATAATCTATGATTACTTTTATGATTTCTTAAAAATAGGAACATCTTAAATCTATTATTGTTGTTATTGTTGGATAAAGAGACTAATCTTTAGCTGCAACTTCGAATTTTAGACTCTTTTTATTGGCCTCTTTCTTTAGAAATTGAATTTAATGCTTGCTAATTTTTACTTTACTTTACCAAAAATGAATTTTTCTGCCACTTATTATTAAGTCCTCCTAAAAACTTCAGTTTTTCTTTCTTCCAATATAGATATCAGATTGCGCTAAAGTGGTTTAAATTTTTTTTATACTTTAATACTTCATTTATTTTAGTTCAATGTAGGGAGAACATTTGTTAGCCATTTTTGTCTGACAATTTCCAAAGGTCATTCATCGACAATTTATTTTGTAAGCAATATTTCTCTAAATCTTTGCTATCGTTTATTTGAAGAACTAAGACTATTAAAGTGGCATTATGTGAAGAGAAGATTTGTGCTTATATTTGATAATTGTGCAATTCAAAAATCCAAAAGAGTTGTAAAACGACTGGGTGCAGGTTAATACATGTATTTGCCACACTACTCCCCTTAACTTATCCTATTGAAGCAATACATAAGAAAGAATTCGCAAATGTCCAGAATCTGATATTCATTCTCATTTCAATTCAATAACTATTGATTGATTAATTAAATAATTATTTATTGTTAATGCTACTTTCTTTGAAGAAATCATTTGATAAAATTGATTTTTGATTTTATAATCATTCTGGCTTAGTATTTTTCACTCTCTGCCACAAAAGGCCAATGAATTCATCAAAATAAATTTTTGTTAATTCAGACCTGTTATAAATGGCCATCTTACGTAAACTTTATCCAATAACCAGCCTAATTGTGTACCTTTAAGTATTAACCGGAATCTTGTTTCTGAAAATTTTATGGTGGTCTAAATATGGTCGATTCAATCCAAAAATGATGACACTTATTATCATTGTTGATTATGTTTCTATGATCCTTAATAGAATGTGTTTCAACCTTAATAATAATTGCACTACTTGCTCAAACAATTGGGCTCACACAATTCATATTGTCAAACATAAGAACTTTTTAGCAGCGGATGCACAAAGGAGATGTTTTGCTTCCTATAAATGGAATAAAAAGTAGTTTAAGTAACGAATGATGTTCCCTTTGTTCTCGCACCGATTCTAGTTATAAGGCATCAAAATAATTTCTGCTTTATACTTTTATGAACAATTGTTGTAGAATATAACCATTTAAGCAATACCATCATATCATTACTGTTAATTCTTATGTTATGCATGCTAAAAAGATATATATGATTCAAGCTTCTTTATATTGTCTTCAAATGCGCAACTCTATTATTTGATTAAATTTTGAAGTTTTTGCTGTTGTATTAGCTCCCTAATCTTGTAGTTGTTCATATTTATTAAACTAATAAGTATTCTTCTGTTGATTTACCGTTCAATATAAAATAAAATGCAGCTGTACATAATGGAAAAATGTTATAGAGAATATGCCATGCAATAATTCTATGATAGCTTTGCTACTGCTATTTTTCTTTTTATTCTCCAATATTTTATTAGGATGTAACATTGCCTATGAATCTTATATTCTAGTATTATTAAAATATTATGACATCAGTGTTTCTTTTTCTTTAATCAAGGCTAAAGATAAAATGTTGTTCTAAGCTACATATGTAAATTCTTTCTTAATCTGTTATGCTGTTAATGAATACTTTTGTTTCGATCATATATCGGTATTTAAACGCTAAATACATTGTACTTACGTTTGAAGAAATCTTAAATAATCTACTTGTCATTCATACCTAGATAATAGTGTTAACTATTTGTATTAAAGTGTAAAGCGTCTCAATGTTAAGATCAAAGGACATATAAGCTAGCCAGAGTCAACGCTTTTAGGTAAGTCTTTTTCTAAAAGTATTGATTTGTTATCGCTTGTCCCAAAAGTTTCCTTGCCTGCTATTCCATGATCGTCCAATATATGAAATTTGGTAGATATTACTTATAAACACAGTTTAAATTATTATAGAATTGAGTAAATCAGGACGAAAATTAACACAAATGAATATACTTAATTATCTGAGCGGATACACATAAACAGAACAGCAATTTCATGGATCTTAATGGAATACAAAAGCAAAAGTATGCATCCAACAAGGGCATGTTATTTCACACAAAAAGTCAAGCATGCTTTGCAAATTAAATTACGTATTGGTATCAATAAGTTTGGCTCTAATTTATAAATGTAATTATCGCAAGCTCAAGATATACAGAAAAGAAGACCAATAAAGCAAACATAATACCAAGATATTCGAAGAAGTTATGGAGTTCCTGATTAATCACAAATTTATCTTACAATTGGTGTTTGTTTAACTAATTGAGGAGATGCAGAACTCTATCTGACTTCCAATAAAGGAACATATGGTATGCACAATGTTTGCTGTCAAAGGGAATAAGTTTCTGACCAAGCTTCTCAATAGTTTGGATCTGATAATCATCGATAGATAATACTCTATGATGATAAAAACATTGCCGACTTCCCAATATCAAAGTGATTTCTAATAGAATCATAATCAAGACCTCCAAAAAAAAAATGTTATTTTTTTTGGCTTCTCGTGTTTATGCCTTCCTATTCATAATACATTTTTAGTTTGTCAAACATCGAATGCTATCTTTTGAAATTACTTAATCAATTATTCGTACTCTATGGAATTTGTGATTTAATAAAACATTGAATAAGTTATAAATTTTTTTCTCATATTTTTAAGATAAATAGCTATTACCTTCAGTTGTTATTAGTTCCATTCTTGTAGTTGTTGTAGGGTCTAAATTTATTCATCTAATTATTCATCAAGCATCACCTGCTTATTGAATTCTGATACATTATATGATGGTCTAATTTGATTGTATTCATATAATAATAAACATTTATATGTACTCTGAACAAAGCTGACATCAATACTGTTGCACAATAATATATATGAGTTGATAAATGACTCAGGATGTTTGTTATGTATGCCCTTACAAAACTCCGCGACGTGGATCATCACCTCATTTATTTTGTTATTAAGGCCACCTTAGTTCTCCTTTGAATGTAAATGATTTTTCAAATCTATCTAAAAGAGGTAGTAAGTGATTCACCTGCAAGCAATGTTAACAGTTGTACACTTAGGGTAAATATAGGGTGATATTAAAGATTGTCAAATATTACTAAAATCCATTAATCAATGTAATACTATAGAGAAAGCGAACAATATGTGGAGCTGTTCAAATTTATCTTGAATAATTGTAATATAATATTATGAATTATTTGTAAAAAAGTGGTCGTGCTTTACTTGAGATAGTAGGATAAATGCATTGCAAGCTCTTTCTTTAAACTATTAAAGTTATAAATAAAAGTGATAAATACAAGTTCATTTTTTTTGAAATTGGAATTGAGATAGAGGTGTTTATTGTTGTTGCCTCAATTCTTAAGAGTTTTATGACTGTTATCTCTTGCTTGGCTACTTATTGGTTGTCAAAGATTGAAGGCAAGCGATAACGTCAACATAGATTTCAGAGTAAAAGGTACATGATCAAATCCTACATATTTTAGAAATAAAAAACAAACCTAGGGATGACTTAATCAAGTATACCATAAAGTAGAAACAGTAGAATTTAGAATAAAAAACCGTAGAAGAGGTAGGACTTAAGTAAAGATTTTGATATAATTGCATCCTTATCTTAATTACAGTANATTAAATTACGTATTGGTATCAATAAGTTTGGCTCTAATTTATAAATGTAATTATCGCAAGCTCAAGATATACAGAAAAGAAGACCAATAAAGCAAACATAATACCAAGATATTCGAAGAAGTTATGGAGTTCCTGATTAATCACAAATTTATCTTACAATTGGTGTTTGTTTAACTAATTGAGGAGATGCAGAACTCTATCTGACTTCCAATAAAGGAACATATGGTATGCACAATGTTTGCTGTCAAAGGGAATAAGTTTCTGACCAAGCTTCTCAATAGTTTGGATCTGATAATCATCGATAGATAATACTCTATGATGATAAAAACATTGCCGACTTCCCAATATCAAAGTGATTTCTAATAGAATCATAATCAAGACCTCCAAAAAAAAAATGTTATTTTTTTTGGCTTCTCGTGTTTATGCCTTCCTATTCATAATACATTTTTAGTTTGTCAAACATCGAATGCTATCTTTTGAAATTACTTAATCAATTATTCGTACTCTATGGAATTTGTGATTTAATAAAACATTGAATAAGTTATAAATTTTTTTCTCATATTTTTAAGATAAATAGCTATTACCTTCAGTTGTTATTAGTTCCATTCTTGTAGTTGTTGTAGGGTCTAAATTTATTCATCTAATTATTCATCAAGCATCACCTGCTTATTGAATTCTGATACATTATATGATGGTCTAATTTGATTGTATTCATATAATAATAAACATTTATATGTACTCTGAACAAAGCTGACATCAATACTGTTGCACAATAATATATATGAGTTGATAAATGACTCAGGATGTTTGTTATGTATGCCCTTACAAAACTCCGCGACGTGGATCATCACCTCATTTATTTTGTTATTAAGGCCACCTTAGTTCTCCTTTGAATGTAAATGATTTTTCAAATCTATCTAAAAGAGGTAGTAAGTGATTCACCTGCAAGCAATGTTAACAGTTGTACACTTAGGGTAAATATAGGGTGATATTAAAGATTGTCAAATATTACTAAAATCCATTAATCAATGTAATACTATAGAGAAAGCGAACAATATGTGGAGCTGTTCAAATTTATCTTGAATAATTGTAATATAATATTATGAATTATTTGTAAAAAAGTGGTCGTGCTTTACTTGAGATAGTAGGATAAATGCATTGCAAGCTCTTTCTTTAAACTATTAAAGTTATAAATAAAAGTGATAAATACAAGTTCATTTTTTTTGAAATTGGAATTGAGATAGAGGTGTTTATTGTTGTTGCCTCAATTCTTAAGAGTTTTATGACTGTTATCTCTTGCTTGGCTACTTATTGGTTGTCAAAGATTGAAGGCAAGCGATAACGTCAACATAGATTTCAGAGTAAAAGGTACATGATCAAATCCTACATATTTTAGAAATAAAAAACAAACCTAGGGATGACTTAATCAAGTATACCATAAAGTAGAAACAGTAGAATTTAGAATAAAAAACCGTAGAAGAGGTAGGACTTAAGTAAAGATTTTGATATAATTGCATCCTTATCTTAATTACAGTACCATTAATAAATATATAATAAATTTATAAATATAGGGCAGATAAACCTTTGATTTATCTATTTTTTAGTAGCACTATGTAAAAAGGTTCACAATCAAGATACGATTTTCCTGAACATCTTATGACAACTGGAATTGGAAATGATTTTTACAGTTTTCAAGATGCAGTTTGTAGATTAAATCGCTGTATAAAGTACATTGCATGATTTCAAACTGCAGCACTAGCACACGCAGAAGATGCTTTGTGCTTAAGTAGTTTGGGTAATGCTGATTGTGATATCAAGAAATTCTTTACTCTTAAGTTGTTTATCAAGAGATTTTACACTGAATGTTGTTCAAATCTTTACTTATCAAATAGTACAAATTGAAATATCAATAAAAATTGGAAGTTAGGTAATCTCAACGAAAATATATGCAATATTTTGTTTTACTCATGAAGGATAGGAGCATAGAAATAAGAATGATGGTACAATATATTGAGCAATAACTTCACCACAAGATATAAATTAATTAACATTCCTCAATCAATAACAGGAAGGATCGCAAGTTATAAACAGTTAATACCTATCATTAATTTATAATATTAAAATTGTTGCACTAACTGCGACAATATTAATTGTCTCAATGAACAACTTCAGATAATTATGATTAATTACTCATTACAACAGTGTATTAAGTTGTTATTTTATTACTATTGCATAATTATACATATTTTTTTCAAATGTTAGCAGCATCAAAATCTTATCTAGGTGGGTAAATAGCAACTTATTCATATTTCAAGTAGCTCTTATATGAGTAAATTTGCTTTTATTAAAATTGACTATTTACTTAAATTATGCAGACTCCAAACTTCTCTATACAAATAAATATCAAAGATAAATTTGGAGAAAATGTAATCTCAAACTTAATAATACTGTTATTAAGAAGTTTTTAAATTAAGCGTGTGCTTAGAGAAAAGGTGCCAGAAAATTCTCAGTCGTTCAAAGTCAGCAATACAACAAATTTCCAAGCCACCTGCACTTACTCAAAGTGTTTAGATATAGTTCTCTTGAATTTAATGATTAACTTTGCGATCAACAAGATTAAAAGGATGCACATTATAAATAAATGGCAAAAATTCTGATAAAACTAAATAATACCTTAAACTCATCAACCAGTACTTCTATATAGTTGATTTATGAAATGGATAATATCAACTTGAAAATGTTGTAAAAACGAATATTTTGACACAAATGGCAGTTGTTATAGTCAATATTATGGCCTTATAGACATTCTAAACATTAACAAGGATATTCATTTGCCAAAGCAAATTTAATAAGTATTATTCATAGAAGAAGTCACAAAATTACTGAGAACTCAAGATGTAAAACACTAAAGAAAAAAGATTTATAGCCTGATTTAAAAATTTATAATAATGACCTTTAGATGGTCAATTTCAAGTTTAATCGAATGTAATGAAGGGTACTTTATTTTGAAAAGGTTAAATATACACAAATCTATCCTAATTAAATTAGAAGATTAGATTAGAAATTTAGCAAAATGTGAAATGTAGGATTCACAAGCAGAGCATTTCAAATTTCTGACCAGGTCTTACATTTGCCTACTTCGCTTAGCAATGAAATACTAGCATAAGTATCAAAACATTGTATGCACTGATAGTATTTTTGAGTAACTAAGGATTTGAGAATAAGCACAGGAAGGACATGATAAAAGGTAGGTGGATGAAAAGTGAAACAAACAATTCCACAATATCTTGAACAATAGTTAGAACATAAGAATCCCATTTTCATCCAATCTAAGGAAATATTTAGAGAAATTGAGTAGTATAATGAGATATTAAGGCTAATACTAGAATCTATTAAATTTTTCAGCACTACAATATCAATTAATTATGATTTAATTAAAGTTAAATATTTCCTAAGTTGTAAACTAATTTTTAACTCGATTAGAATTGAAATAACATTTTCAATAGAAAATTGTTGCATCATTAACTTAGGTAATAAGATAAAATTTTCACAACTTCTTATACCTAACATATTTTAATATTAAAAAGCATAATGCATACTTAGATAGTTTAGTATTTATAGATTTGGTAGCTTGATTAAATATAAAAAGCCGTGTGGAAATAATCTTTAGATGGACTATATTTAAGAGAACAGTTTTATTAACTACAAAATATATAGAAATAGGTTTGATTAGCAATTGTCAGAATTTTCGAAATATTTAGTTGAATTTAATTCGTTTCAAAATGATTTTATCAAGGTGAATCGATCTAATAGTTATAATTTGTATTAATTAAAATAACTGATTATTCCGATAAATGACTTTATGTATTTAAAATGTTTTAAATTAACACTAAATTCTCGAATACTAGCCTCTAATCGAACAACTTAATTCATAAAAATCCAAAACTTTTATCTGGAAATATTAGCTTAGATTTAGATTATCTTTTTAAATGTCTTATATTAATGGTTCCAAACTCTGTTAGCGATAAAAATGATTTAGGCTAGGTACAAACAATATGAATCGAAGCTAAGTAGAAGTAACTCTAGAAGACTAATCCAATAGGTACTAGATAGGTTATGAATGAAGCTTTAATCTCAACTCATATTGAAGAACCATAAATAACCTTGGACTTAAAATAAAGGGAGTGTACTCTTTTGATCTTTGTAAACTCAATTAAATTTCAAGAAACAACAGAAATTTTGTAACAAATTATGTTTTGTCAAATCAGAATAATTATAAACATAAATTTTTA